AAATATACAAAATATAAAACAACATTATGTCAATTTAAATTGAAGTGAACATTAATGTTGTAGTAATGATAAAACAGATATTAAATAATCCCAACCCCCTATCTCGGTTCAGTGGTGGTGGGTTAAGTTTCTCCTAAAGTAATGTTTCACTATATTTTTTATCTGGGAATGCCTTTGTTCTTTTTGGTACTTTAGTTTTAATTATTTCTTACTTGGTAGATAATTCATGCTGGGTTAAATAATGTACTAGCATTATTGCTACCATGTTCTGAAATTTTGGAAGTTTCCTGCCAGTCTCTAAAAAGTAGTATTCACCACATTCTGAACATGTTGCTTTTATAAGCAAATATTTTATTATTACATTGTTCTTACCTTTATTATTAGAAACCTCTTTCTTGCATGGAGGTCGTTTGTACAGAATTATTCTTTCTTTTAAATTTATTCAAAAATTTACTATTTCTTCTGAGCTGTTCTAGACTAAGCATTCTGAAGAATGAGAAAAATGAAATGTCAATTAAAAATAATATAAGCAGTGTAATATCAGAAGTTAGTCATTTGTCTATTTTAGATTGTCTAGCAAACTTTGGTTAGCATCACACATTTAAGAAATAAAAGTTTTAAAAATTACATGTTAGGTCTCTATAGTTTTAGGTTGTTTTAATATAAACTACAATATCCAATTGGCAATACACAGTTGCTGTGAGAACAAAATGCTCTTTGAAATGTATTTATAAGTTGATATTTTATACAGTTTGAAATGAAAACTTGGTCTTGTCTGAATAACTAATGATTTATTCTCACATTAGGCATTCTTTTATTTTATAAATTAATCAAAAAATACAATTCAAAAACACCAAAGGTATGAAAGCAATTCACAGGACAGTCCTTGTTTCTTAATTACTTTAGGGCATAGTTTAAGCCAAATTTGGCTTTGCAGTTTTGCTTTAAATATCGAAAGTGAGAAAGAAACTGATGGTCAGTGCTATAATTTATAAAGAAATTATGTATACACATTTCAAGCTAGTTCTTAGGAATTGTTTTAGGATTAAACAAGCATGATTAATAGACTGCATAATACCTTCTAAAAAAAAATTCTGACTGTTGTCTAATTTCTATCGGAAGCCTAACTTATATTTTCAAGTAATTATAGAAGATTAAAATTATTTAAACTAAATAATTAAATGACTAACTTCAGGTATTGCAGAGCTTGTATTATTTTTGTCAACGTTTGGGCTTTCTTTTTAGTGTTTAGAACAGCTGAAAAGAAATGATTACTTTTAGAGTAGATTTCAAAGAAAGAACAATTTTTTACACACGCGACTAGCATACACGTTGCAAGGTTTCCAGTAATAAAGGTAAAAACAATATTAAGATGCACAGAAGAGAATTATACAACGATATTACGGAAATTCGATATTAGGGAAACTGATGTATTAATAATAGCGACGATAAGTTTATTTCTTAGAAATTTATTCTTCAATTTATCATTTCTTCTGAGCTGTGTCAGATTAAACATCCTGAAGAGGGCGAAAACCGACACGTTGATAAAAACAAATATGCAATATAATATCTAAAGTTAGTTGTTTATTTATTTTAAATAATGTTTTAACTAAAAAATTATGGTGTAAAACATTTTTCTAATGTGGCGAAGTATAATTATAATTAATTATACTTGTCTTAAGACATTAGTATTCGACTTATTTTTAACAATATATTCTTTACTAGCTGATCACCTGTTCCCTGGACGGAAGTTATGTAAATAAATGATTAATGAAAGGTTTTTTTTAGGACATGAAAAGTTGCTTCTCTTATATGTAATGGTAAAAAAACGCCCATACCTTCCGCTCAGGGGACGGGTACTCCAGCTTTGTTTATATACTTTTATTTAGCAATGTAGAATTTTTAACAAACTGCAAAGAATAAGGTATTGACAATTATGGAAAGAAAGGAATAGTGAAACAATTCAGATTAAATTTATTTTTGGGCAGATTTCTATTTCGTACTTTAAAATGGATAATAATCGAAAGAACATTTTCTGCAGTGGATGAGCAGACAACCTTTACGTATCTATAGAATATGAAATAGTTATTTTATAAAAAATATCTTTTAAGTCTTCACGTTACAGAAGGATATCTAATTCAACTTGAAGAATAACTGTATAAATATCATTCGATTAAACTTTTATTGTGTTTTAGACTAAAGTAATCAGAAGTTGGGACGGTTATCTTTTGGCCAGTAACTTGTAAAGTCACCGTTTTCTTAGTAAATGGGTAAAATTCGTTTCTCTCTCTGTTTTTGGTCATTTTTTATATTCCAAAACAAAGAGGGCGCTATAATAATTTTAGTGAATGAATGGTGAACAGAGCGAGACACACCCGTTCGAAGTTCTCCGTGTGCTGGCGCAAGTTACAATCGAAGGTTTTGTACAATAAGAAAGGAGCAATCTAATAGTTGTAACTGCGGAACTGTTGATGTTTCTCTCTTCCCTTATCTTTGTTTTTGACATTTTTTTTTGCGAAAGATTTTGATATCATTCAGTAGTTATTTTATTAATTATCAGGCCAACGCATGGTTTTGTGAGTATTTCTGAGTTTGTACTTGATTAATCTACCACTGTCAGTATTAATACTAAAACAAATAAGATTGGGTGTACTGTAGTCATTGCTTCAGTACATCCAATCTTATTTGTTTTATGACATTAAATTCATGTGTTATATTTAAATGTCAGAACTTATAAAACAATTTTAAATGGTTCTGATTTTTATTTCATTGATCAAAGGATCAGCGTTAACAAATTATTTTGTTTGATCGTTATGAGTAGTTTAATATTATAATAGTAGATTTATTTGATTTTATCCAACAAAATACTTAAATTTTAATAGTTGTATGCAAGGGCACCCGCAGAATAAAAATTAGGGGGGTCAAGTAACTCAAGTTTGAAAAAATTATGAAATTGAAATACCTAATAATTTTCCAGTAACATAGAAGAATAATTTTACATATCTAGTAATTTTTTATTTTTGAAAATCTAGGGGGGTGGTGGTCAAGTGACTCCCTTACCCCTCCCTGCGGGCGTCCGTGGTTATATATTATTGTTCAATTTAGGTTTATGTACATAGGCTCGTAGCATATATGTTATTTCTTAATTTTAGTGATATGTAAATTGTAATGCTTATTTTTAATAATTCCAGCCATCTGTGTATATGCCCAGTGGCAAATATAACATTTTGGTTTTCAAGGCTTACCAAACGTACTTGATTGATATCTAGTTGCCTCACTATCAACTGGAAAGTCGATAGTTTTAAACATACTGAATAAAATATATACAATGAAAGTGTAGTGGAAAGAGTACTGCTAGATTAAAAATCAAGACAGTCTATATTTGAAATACAGTTTAATTAAATGCCATATGTATCAAAAAGAGTTAATTAATGTTAAGGACAAAGAAGGTACAAAATGGCAGAAGGATTTTAAGTTTGTTTAAGTCAACCCTTATGACAAAAGAAAGTTAAAATTGTGTGACTCATTAATGTACTTGCACTACAAAAATTTTAAATAATTAATGCCAATTGCACACACCATATCATCAGTCAAACTGTTTCTTATGTTCATACTCCTGCATTTGGCATTCTAGATCTTGAACATGGTACTCAGGATTTCTATACAAATTCATATTTTTTACCTTTTGCTATCATCGCTTAAAAAGGCTAAGTAAATTTGTCAAAACATCTGAATCAAGTCATCTCAAGTTCTTGTATGCTTTAGAGGAAACAAAATCTTAAATTCTATACTTCTCTTTCTAGCTTAAAATATTTTTGTAGAATCCCAATCTTATACAAGGTTTTAATAAACTGCTTTTACTGTAATAATTCAGTATCCTATGCTTATAAGAGCTGAACATTTACCTGAAGGCTTTAGGAATTTCAACAATAATTACACAAATATTCTAGGATTTTTCCATAATATTAATTTTCTCTTGCCATACAAAATATTTTCTAAAGTACTATGATTTAAATGCATAATTGTATACTTTTGAATTTGAATTTTTATGAAGATTTTTTGTGTTGTGGCCTAATTATTCAAATGCCAAGTTGATTTTGGATAAAATACCAATAGGATCAACCATTCCCAGCATCAGCATACATGTATCATCATTGAGTTTGGAAATATTACTGTTCTCACAGGCCCCTGAAGTAATTTCATTTATAGTGCTTATATAGGCAATTTGCAAATGTTCAAATACATACGAGTGTATATTTTCCTATCATAAACTTGACAATTTTTCATTTTTTTAACCTATTTCTCACATATTTAAGAATTATCAATGATTAATATCTCTTTAATTCTATAACCAGTTTTCCTTTTGCATTTGCTTGCCAACTGTCAGTTATTTTCCCCAAACTAAACTTTTGGTAATCTATATATTTGGAAAAAATTACTTTTTAATAATAATTGCAAATAAACACCCTTTGGAAATTTGTACTATAAAGCCATACTGGTTAAGTTATTAAGTTTACAAAGTAAATACATTATTTTCTTGAAAAATAAAACATTGCAATTAAACATCAAAAAACCATGAAAAACATTAGTAAAGAATTGCTTATAACTTATTGTCCTGTGAGCACTCTTTATTTTTTTTTTTATGTTAATAGTTCATTCTAAGATCTTAGCAAAGGAAACTTTTAAAATGTAGTTTAGGTTTAACAGAAGCTTAATTTAAAAAATGAGAACTAGGTAAAGAAATTCTGGAGCTGTCTGACAAATTGAAAGTTGAACATTCTTAAAAGCAATTGATGCCTCCTGATATTCAATGAACTAAGATGTCTTAAATTCTTATTAGACCAACAACTTTTGTGACCACCCATTTTGGTCTTGGCATCACTTCTCAAATTATAGATACATCTGTCACCAGACCATTGTATAAGGTAAGATTTTTTTTTGCTGTTGTTGCTTTATAAAACTAGATTTCTTAAGATAAAGAATGGTTAAAATCAAGCACAAATTATGTTTTAAAAACAGAATGATTTATTGTGGTTTATTCATGAATTTTAGGGGAAAATCTAACTATTTCCAAGTTGAATCCAGAAAAATTACAAAAACATATACATATGGCATTTGTCTACATCTGAATATTCAGGAGGTTAACATGAACGTGAAAATATGTATATCTTATTAATCTAAGTTTCTATATATACAATTTGTGCTTTGTTTATTCACACAAGTACTGAATTGGAAACACTAAAAATAAATTTAGTTGGAATGTGTTATGAATCTAGCACCAAACATCATGTGTGTAGATCTTTTTATCTTTTGTGTTGTTGGAAAGTACTTGTAGGAAAGTACTTGTATAGTAAAATAAATTATAAACTATTTCAGTGTTTTGATGATCACACAGTTTATCTGGAAAAATCCAATATAAACAAGTACCACAGTTATTAAAATGTTTTTCACTTTACTTAATTAATATAAACCATACACAGTCAATGCTTTATCAAAATATTTTTTTTTTTGTCATTTACTACTGGCTGGTATCAGCTATGAATATGTAATTATTTGTATTTTTCAGCCCCCATTAAGCCTTTTCTAAGAATAATCTGCTTAAAAAATCCATGTAACACTTATGTAACTGTACTGTTAAAGTACTCCAAAAGTTTCTTTGATTCAGTTTTGGAATTTTTCAGAGATTTTTAGAAATTCAAAATTAATTGTTCAGAAAAATTCATTTAAAAAAAGCATTTTTTTATACGTTTATGCCTCGCAATGTCATTTTGTAATGAAAAAATATTGTTCAATTGAAGTCTCACTGAAATGTTTTCAAATAAATCATTTGATTTTGTAAGATGTGGAATTCCCTCTATTTCTACATACTTGAATCAACATTGTAGTGTACACCTCATTGAATTGGTTCAGTGTCAAGATAATTTTACTGACTGGAAGCTTTCAACATGTTTGATGAGTCTGTGATATAACATTTGTCCTCGCAGCACTATGGAATAAGAATCCATTTTCTCGGAAGAGCTAGATTACTAAATCCAATCTTGATGTGTAAATGTGTGGGTGCTGCAGCTAACACTATACATGCATACAAGAAAATAACATTAGGGAAATTATGATAAAATTATCCATCCATTCATGAGGAACTGGAACATTTTAGGTCATATCCTGGGGTGTTTTTGTTATCAAATCTCACAAATTTAACCAAACAATCACGTTAACATTTTTACTGTTAAAAAAAAATTTGCATCTTTGGACTATTGGGCCTTTGGAGAAATGGGCTCTTGGGCTAATGGACAGCCACCAATAAACATCCTTGATATCCCTAGCCAATACTTTTATTACTTTGGCATAGAGACTACAGGTGATACATCATGTGGATTTGAATTGTTAATGGGTTGAATTGTGAACTGCAAAAAAGAAGTTACACAGAGGTATTAACAGCTGTTGGAAACATTTTTTTACAACACAAACTATATTTATAACTTTTTACTTTATAACATTTTAAATTACTTCTGTTTTCAGTTTCCTCTCAAATAGAACACCTTTATATCACCATAAAAGATTGTTTGAATCACCAGTAACTATAAACTTTTATCACTTAACTTGCTTCTAAAACATATTGTACTTTAGGAAAGATATCTAAGGGATGAAAACCCAGCTCATCTCACTTCTTAGTTCCTAAATGTGCATGCTTATAGACAGTGCTATCTTTCAAACCCTTTTCCATATTAATTTAGGCCAGTGGTTCTCAAACATTTCAGGCTTGGTACCACTTTTTGTTTCATTTTTTAAAATTACAAACCCAGGCCTAATTGTTTTTAAAAAAGAGAAAAAATATTGTAACAAAATTTCATATTTTTAACACTTAGCCATTAATGTAAAGGATGTGGTTGTTTTTTCTCGCACGATTGAAGAATATGTGGTACCATTTTTGTCAATTTTAAGGGAAGAAAATACTGGTGAGTCTATGTAAGTAGAGAGTGAGTCTATAAGTATAAGTGAGGATAATAGTATGTATATGTATATGGAAAACTCGGATAGGGCTTACTAAAAATTTTATGAATTTTTATGTTAATTATATCGTATACCACCGACATTAGCTCCACATACCACAGTTTAAGAATCCCTGCTTTAGGCCATAATTTCCAAGGTCTCCCTACACAGAAGTATTTAACAACAAAGTAATTCTATACTCATATAGAAATTCAATAAAAATCACCACATGAATTGCAAATAAAAGAATTGAAGTTACATCTCAGAAAGAAAATTATAATTTAAAACCAAATACTATTAATAATTCAACAAAATATATTGAGTATATCCATTTTCAGTATTTAAAGCCAGCTAGGTAAATGATCATGCAACAAGTAATTTACTGTTTTTTTTTAATCTTATTATAATTGAGCTTGTGATGCATAAGTCCAAAACTCTAATCTTGGAAACTACTGCACCAATCATAACTGGGTAATATTTTTATAGCTGACCAATAAATAAAACAATTGAAATTTCCACAAGAATGTAATGTTTCAGATTTAACCAATAAAATTTACAAAAAAAGTTTCAGGTATATCAATCAAAAAACGAACTTAAAAAGTTGTATGTCTTTCTTTAGTGAAAATCTCATGAGTGTTGCAACAGAAAAGCAAGGTACTTTCATTGGCAACTGTGTCTACAAAGAAATACTTCAGTAAAATATCTGTGATGATAGCTCATTTTAAACAAAAGTTTCAATAAAATCTATTTCCTTGTGGATGGTGAACATTATTGAATGTCAAGTATGAGTACTTTGTTGTAGAACTGTCAGGCAATTCCAGAAAAGGTTGCAGGCCCAATAGCTGTTCACAGGAACTAACAGTTATACATCCCCAGAGGGCCAATATTTCTGCTAGCATAGAATAATGGTAAGAGGTCCTAGCTACCATATAACCAAAACATCAGCAACTTGGTTTGTCAGCAAGTCTGTTGTGTACTAGTTTTTTTTTATGTTAACAGCTTTTGCACCCCTATTAGAAGAGATTGCTGTTGCCTTTTTCCAGTTATACAGTAGGCTATTCGCATTCTATCCACCATGGGGAATCGAACCCTGGATTTTAGTGTTGGAAGTCCACAAACTTACCACTGACTAACTGAAGGCATTAGAAGAGGCTGTGTTTATGCAGAATGCTTTCACTTTTTCTAATTTACTGCACTTATAAAAAAAACAACCTGGTATCTGAGTATACAGACTTCTGTAATTCAACTTTTCAAATGCGTTATTTAAGAAATCTACTACTATGTTTTAACATTAAATTTTAAGTGAAAAACCAATATATGAAAAGAAACTCCAGGACTTGAATAAGGACATCTGGTTGCTAATAGGGCCAATGCTCTACCACTGAGCTAACTAAGCTGTCTCTGTCAGTGTTCACTTATAAAGCTTCCTTTTATAAGAATGATCAAGGTTTGTTACAATAAACAATGTTATAGTGTGAACGTCTTTTGCTGGGGAATTGTTTTTTTATCATGGATAAATGAAACGACTGTTAACTCCAGAGAACCTTTCAAAGTTTTATTTGCTCAAAGTTTTGGCTTTAGCCTCCATCACAAGAATATATGTATGACTGAAATGTCGAGTAAATTGAAAAACAACAACTTTGATAGATCTTATTTATAATTATGTGTACTGCAGTCAGTATTACCTAAAGAACAAAAATATTAAAAAAAAAAACACTTCGTGTTTTAATCAAATGTATTTGATATAAGACAATAGTATTGGTCTTATTATATTTTTAAACTGTATTTCCTTATTCGTTCCTTTAGGGTTTTACTGAGAATAGTGTATAGGTTTGCACGAAGAATACGTGTTTGCGTTATGTAAAACTTTTGTTCATGTATTTTCTTATATAATCAATAAAACTGAGCTTTAGATATATCGACTAAAATCAAGTAATAGAAAATTGTGTAGATAACTAGGTACAACAAACAATTAAAACTTAATATAATTGTTTGTCACACAGATACAATGTTCCTGTAATTTGACGATTATTAGTACTATTTAAGTTTTTAAATTGTAAATTAATCTATAAAGCTATCTCAAGTAAGCGGTTTCCATGGTAGCCGACGCGACGAACATTGAGCCCGAGACTGTATTATAGAAAGTTATATAAAGATACACGCACACACAGACGCATAAGTAAATTTAAATTATTTTGGCAGTTTTGAACTTTCTAATAAATTACTTATTTGAACCGAGAATTGTTATTTGTTTATAATTTGTATAACTTGAAGTTCCAATATAATACATAATAACTTGTATTGTACATCTCGGCTTATTTGGGGATTGTGTCATAATACCAAACAAATATAGTTAGATAAGATTTTAAACAATTAATTAAACATACAGATTGTATTCGTGAATATTTTCTCGAATGTTGTATTTTTTTTAATTCTACTCATTATTAACATGTATCAGCAGTGTTGGTAAATACAATTCAATCTTGAAGTTTTAACTTTGTTTCTTTGGATTTGTTTTATGTAAGAACGAACCTTTTTAAAAAAAAAGTTATTTCTGAGTGGGCATATACGTAATTTGATTTCAATGTTTCTCTATACGTCTCACGTGCTAAACTTTGTGACATGAATAATTGTATTAATGGAACAAAAAATATCGTTGCGTACATCAAAGCGCGAGACACGTTCAGTATCTTGTGTTCCTGCAAAGCATGCAGCCACCACCAAGTGATAATTAAAATACCTGGGGCTTTTGTATTACTAGTGGAGTTGTCAGTGTTCTTGCTGTGGGTAAGTATTTGTAACAGCAAAGGGAATGCATAGCTTCTATTAAAAGCTACTCTTTGTAATATTCGCTTGTTTAATATATATCTCAGCAGAACCCCCACCCCTTATTTGAAACACTGGATATTATCGTTGTGTATATGCTTGAAAAAAT